CCAGAGAAGAGTCCCCTCAGCCAGATGGTCCTGAGTAACAAGTCCCCAACAGACTCAAGACAGCAACACCAACTCAAGCAGACCAAAGCAAATTATCAGCAAGCAGAAAGAAAAATATTGAATACTGGAAAGAAACGACCAAAACACAAAGTAAATTACAATGTTATCTGACCCTAAAAGAGAATTCACACTGGCAAATTACCTGAGTACAATAAAATGTCCCAAATTAAGAAAATGTTGACAACAAACAGACTGAGTGAACACAGCCTGGCCATAGAAAAGGGTCGCCACAGACAGAGCTGGCTACCACAAGAGGAGAGACTCTGCTTGTGACAGGGGACAGGTAGAGACAGAGCTGCACTTTCTAACCTCATGCCCTAAATATAAACATAAGACAAAAACCTTTTTTATTTCCCAAATATACCCCAAATTCGAATTCATATCAGACACAAAGAAACTCCCCTATTTATTGGGAGAAATACCCAAATGCGAAAAAATTGCTGCAAAATATTCTCTCATGCCATGAAGTGAGGACAACCAGTGGAACCTCAGACTAACAAATAATTGTACAGATTTTCAAATTATTATTTTGATCATTTGATATTTTAGTAATTGTTTTTTTTACATTTGATACTGGTTTCTTTTTTTTTTTTTTATCAATTAATTCTTTAAAAATATTATTAATTAATATATTATATATACACACATTATTAATATATACACACGTTACTGTTTCATTTATTTATTTTATTTTATTTTTTTATATATTTTAATTTTTTAACACACACACACACACACACACTTACCGTTTTATTTATTTATTTTATTTTAATATATATATTTTTTTTAACACACACACACGCTTACTCTTTTATTTATTTTATTTTAATACATTTTTATTTAAGCACACACACGCTTACTGTTTTGTTTATTTATTTTATTTTTAATATATATATTTTTAACACACACGCTTACTTTTATTTATTTATTTATTTAAATTTTTAATATTTCTTTTTTTCTTTTTTTAAACACACATACGCTTTGATTACTTTATATATATAATATATATTTACTTTACTTTAATTGTTCTTATGTTGTATATATGATGCTTTGGCATTGTTATTACATTCATGCCAATAAAGCTAATTTGAATTGAATTGAATTGGTGCCTGATGATTAAGAGCTTTGTATGTGAGCAGAAGGATTTTAAATTATATTCTAGATTTTACAGGAAGCCAGTGCAGCGATTCTAATACAGGAGAAATATGATCTCTTTTCCTGGTTCTTGTCATTACACGTGGCGCAACATTCTGGATGAGCTGAAGAGTCTTAATGAGTCTTGGACTTATTCGAACACACTGATAATAAAGAATTGCAGTAATCCAACCTAGAAGTGACAAATGCGTCGACTAATTTTTCCGCATAATTTTGAGACAGGATGTTCCTGATTTTTGGAATGTTACGTAGGCTTCAGTTATCTCAAAACAAAAGAAGAAGAAAAAACTGAGACAGTTATTAGTCATTAAATACAACAATGAATGTCACAGCTGTATATTTCAGAAGAACATACTGCAGGAACAAAAGCAAATATGAAGAACAACAATTTTGTCGTTTATCACAGCTTTATTTTACATGAACATAACATTTATCAACAATGCTGAACTCAGAGAATGATCTAAAACACACACACTTATTCTTAGTCTTTAGACTAAAATTAGCTCCATCAACGTCAGGACGGTGCAAACCATCATAGACATAGAACCAATGATGGGAGTAGATGAGTCTGGAGCAGAAGAAAGAAAAAACATTACTTTTCCATTTGCAATCACACATCAGTACTGACAATTTAGAGAGCTGTGAGATAGAGCTCAATTACCACGCAGTGTGTGGAGCGCAGAGGTTTCTAAACCAGTGACAGCATTTTGGGCGGTACAGGTGTAGCTCCCCAGGTGCATCTCCTCCATCTCATGGATGTAGTGCAGGGGCCCGTACATCTTCATGTGTTTGAACGTCCAGAAGAAAGTTGCCTTTGGTAGGGAGTCAGCAGAGCAGCTAAGAGTGACACTCTCTTCAAGTTCTGCTCCTATTGGCCTCTGAATGATTGTTGGTTTGTCAGGTCCATCTGAACATTTGAGGAAGAGGATGAAGGAGATCATTAGGAAGATAATAATTATGATGAGACTGAAATAGTTAGCCTTTTCTATGCACTTAAGTAATGATAAGCGAATATTCAAAATCAGGAAATGTGTAATTGAAAATACTCACAATAGACTTTCAGTCTGCAGTTAGCTGTATCAAAACTGAAATCATTGCTGACATTACAAAGAATCTCTCCAGTGTCTCTCCTGTCGACAGGGCTGATAGACAACACTCTGTTGCTGTCGTAAAAGCTGAATCTCTCTCCAGAAACCAAAGGTCGGCCGTCTTTCATCCACACTCTGTTGGACACCAAGCCGTCAGCATCGCAGGTTAGGTTCACAGAGGTTTTACCTTCTATTACGTTTTCTGTGGGGCAGGCCATAGTGGGTCTTGACACTTTGGCTGTGCACAAAAAATGTATACAAACACAAGAGACTTGTTGACACCACACCTAAGCAACATTCAACATTCTTTAAACAGACATCTTAGCAGTGCAGTATTACAGTAAAATAAACATGTTGATACTACACAAGCATTGTTTTCAGTTCCTTCCTAACATTAAAAACAGTGTCAGATAAATCTATCTTACTCACTCAGCACCTCCAGTTTGACAGTTCCTTGAATCTGCTCCGCTCCATATGGGATGATGAGTAGTTCATATTCTCCGCTGTCTTTTTCAGTCAGGTTCATAAGCACCAGAGATCCAGTAGACTTTTCTAGGACGATCCTGCTCTCATAGCCTTGTCCGACTACATCTACACTGGTTGAGGTTATTACATTGGTGGTCCCATTGAAGCTCCAAGTTAATGCCAGAAATGGTTCAGCTGTTGGTTTTACAGATGTTTTAAAGGTCACGCTCTCCCCTGCTGCTCCACGGAGGGAGTCAACAGTGAGTACACCAGCTCCATAGCACAGACCTACTGAAATATGAACATAGTTCAACATTTCACAACCTGTAGTTCTATTGATAAAGAACTTTTAATACATATCTTACCTGAGGAGAGGAACATAATATGGTTGACCTGAGAAACGTATAGTTCATGATGTTTACTGGTCAGTCCTCTTCTAATGTTATCTGACCTTCTGCTGTCTGTGTTTGTGCAACAGTGGAATAAAAGCTAAGATAAATGCAATAAATGAAACGTCATCAAGACGTCCACAGGCTTGACATGCTTAATTATTACCTTCATCAACCCTTTGTTATCGTGGCTCTCTAAACTGCATGTTTGGAAAACCAGAAATGATGCTTCTTATTTACTATTACACACAGTTTGTTTACTTAGTTGATAATGTGAGAGGTATTAGGACTAGACTCTAAAGCCATGCTAGTAGCTCTGTGATGCAGCTCTGTTGTATGTAGACATAGCAGTGCTTTGAGCTAAATGTTAATCAGCATACTAACATGCAGAAGAAGAAGAACACATTCTTTATTCATCACACAAGGGAAATTCAATGTTCTCACTCTGGTGTTATTGTCATTAGTATACACACACAGGTCTGAAATACACACACATGCAACAACATGGAGAGATGTCAGAGTGACAGGGCTGCTACTCAGTGCGGCGCCCCGAGCAGCTGAGTGTACAGGGGCTTGCTCTGAACAACAATGTTAACACGATGACAAAATTTAGCACTTTTCAAAACAAAGTTATAAAGTGTTTTGAAAAGAGCTAAACGGGGCGGCTGTGGCTCAGGAGGTAGAGCAGGTTGGCCGTTAATCGGAAGGTCGGCGGTTCAATCCCTGGCTCCCCCTGGTTGCGTGTCGAAGTGTCCTTGGGCAAGATACTGAACCCCGATTTGCCCCTGGCGCCTGTTCCGCCAGTGTATGAATGAGTGTGAATGCTAGTTTCTGTTTGAGCACTTAGGCTCAGTGTATGAATGTAAATGTGTATGACTGGTGAATGCAGATGTAGTGTAAAAGCACTTTGAGTAGTCGAAAAGACTAGAAAGGCGCTATACAAGTACGGAGCATTTACATTTACATGAATGAACCAGGATAGACACATGCAATTAGGAAAATCAGACAATTATATAACCCAAAAAACAAAATACCACACTGGCCTAAGTTCTATCTCAAAACTCTTCACACATTATATGGACATTAACTTTGCTTTATGCACTCCTATAAAATTAATGTAATTTTAAAGATAATATTTAACTTAAGCTAAAAAGTCTGATTGTGTCTAAAACACACTGAGAGTAAAATATACAGGACAATATCCTGCTCAGTAAATTACTTCAATACCACTTTGCTCCATGTCTTTTATCCACCAGACTGCCAGAAGTTAGACCACAAAAAGGCAGCATACTGCAGCTTTTGGAGACAAGAGTCGGATATATCACATCTGTCATTTAGGACCACATCGGACTTTGACAGTGGTCCGATAGTTAGTTTTCACTTCTCCATAAAGTTAAATCAACCATCAAGAGTAAACTTTGGAGGCACAACTCCATTGAATCATTAACATTTCTTCATTGTTTGTATTTATTGTAAGGAAGTCAAATGTATCAACTCAAGTAAACAGTAAGAAGTATATACATATTTATTAAAATATACTTCCAAAGTCATTTCCGCAGTTGCCAGTCTTTGACTGTTATATTTAAAGACTGTTACATATTCGTTGCTGTAAGTTCACATGACAGAGAAAGAATTAACATTTTGTGTTGCAGTTTTCAAAATATATTGATATATATTGTTAATTAGCATAATGTCTTATTCCACCCCAATATTCTTCCATTAATTTACAAAGTTGTGGCTGGACACAATAAAACAGCAAAATAAAAGCAAAAATTAGAAATACTCTGTAGAAATGCGCAACACACCAGGAATGGTGTAAGGAAAACTAGCATAACAATTCAACTAAATATATTATGTTTTAAATGTAAAAGGACTCAGGGTGAATCATCACCCAGCACTACAGCTTACTGGAGCTTTTTACTGTATTTACACTCTTTGTTTTGGGTTTGAAGACATTTCACTCTCATAAACACTGTTTACGGCAGATTACTCTGACAAACCCAATGCATTTGCTACCTGCTAAAATGAGAAGGAATATTTAATTCAACAAGTGGCCAGAAAAGCAGAGGAAATGCTACTGTTATACTGTACATATGGATAAATGGCAAATGTTTGCTAACACATTAGCTATAAAAAAACAACACATTAGCTATCAAAAACAATAATGTGATAATATATCAGGGCTGCTATGTGTCATTATGTTGTGGTGCTCTTCTGCCTACAAGTGTCCAAACAGTCACTTAATTCAACTTTAAGCACATTTATGTGTCTGTCAACAAGACTTTGAAATACACTGGTAATTCTGTTACTGTTACGTTTTGCTGTGTTGTAAATTATTTATCTAAAAGAAACATAACCCAAACACAGAAGAAACAGTATGAATTCTAAAACAAAACAACAACATTGGTGTCTCTTCTTTTCTGATCATCTGCAGGACAAAAATGTAAACAACTGATTAAATTAGAGAGTTGCTGTTTTGATCCAAACAGAGTTAAACTGATTTCTACAGAAACAAAACCTCTTTGTGCGTCTCCCTTCAAAATACATTTAGGCCTTTTCACTAAATAAGAAAAATGAGTTCAAAACTTACCTTAAAAGACAGTTTATATGTTCTCATATACCTCTGAAGTGTTCTCAGTGTCCTTCTCGTTCTAGGCAAAAAAGTAGCTTTGTTACAGTACATTTCATAACTCAATACATGTGATTGTGATTTTTTTTTGAAGTATTTATTTATGATAGTGTGATTTTTAGATCCAGCCCGTCCTCATCCAAAAACAGCTGTATAGGTTGATTATTATAGCTTACTACGACCCAAATTTATGTTTTTAGTAAGGCCACTACCCCTGGTGACAGAAGAAGTCAGGTGGCGTAGTATGAGGAACGACAAAGTCCGATTAAGGAGGGTGGTGGTGGTGAATGGATGAGGGATGTAAACTCAGGACTTTCACTCAAGAGACCAAGACTCAAGTTCCGTGTAAAAGAAAGTTAAATAACGTTTTGTAGAGAACTTACGTAATGTACTTGTTTTAACCCAAGCCACAATATTTTCCTAAAACTAACCATAAAGTTCTGTTGCCTAAAACTAACTACTACCTTTTTTTTACTTTACGTTACGTAACATAGGCCTACTGAAGGACTCTGACTCTGGACCAGTATTTGCCAATGCTCGTTGTTTTGGAAAACGGTCAAAATGTCATTGTATTTTCCAATAGACATATGGCCGATGTCATTTTGGAAACAGTCTTATATGTCGTTTATGGAGACTTGATAATTTTGTCGTTTTGGTATGACAAAGTGTTGCATGTGTAAGTCAGATGAATAGCCTACTTACTTGTATCATGTGCCTGAGGTTTGTTGTTGATTCTGAATTTAAAATAAAAGATTGTTAAAAGGTGGCCTGCTTGATGCTGTTAATGTACCTATTAATGAAAAAAATACTACAACAACAGTTATTTAAATTCTTGCACCTGTAAGTAAAACACCAAATCCAGCAATGCAAATTATTTTAATCTGATCAACAGAATCATTCACATTAATAGAATATAATTTATGTAATCTTAAAGTCAGTTGAGTTTAATGGAGCTGTAAAAGTACTGTATGAAACTGATCAATATTGAAAATACAATAATTCCTGACCAAATCTAAGAGAAATGAGTGACCAGTTACAGATATTATGAAGGCTATTTTTCACACAAATACCTCCAGGTGATTTCCCTGATTTTTAAACAGGGTCATGTACAGTAGGATACTGTAAGGGTGAATGAACACTGATGAAATGAGAGTCAGAGTCAAAGCTAAAGTCAGGGTCAGGGCTAAATAGACAATATACATATATACACCTGTTGTAGATAAATCAAACAGAGTTTTACTGTCACAACCTGATTCTAGTTCCCTATTTTCTATCTCTTCTCTTCAGATCCTAACACTCCCTCCCACCCTGTAGTAATCCATGGTTTATGACTAAAACTGAATTGACCTGCAAGTCCAAACTCAACAATACTGAGCCAATACACTTGCCATAATTGGTATTGATTCTAAATAATTTAAAAAATGGCTCATATATACCTTTTTTTATATATGTAGTATCCTCCACCAAAACCTGCTCCACAGATGACCAAACATGCGATTACTAATCCAGCGATGCAACCAGCCGAACAGGGTGAAGTTTTGACAGCTAAAATAAAGAAGATCCAAGAACATAATTTAACACCATTCTGTAAACAGGAATAATCTTTTATGCCTATGGATATAAAGCATAAAACTATTTCTCCTTTCCTGTGACTTCACAGCCCACTAGGTGCGAATATTTGTTTAAACATAACATAACAATTTAACATTGTGGGTTAATGTGGGCAACATCAACAACAAGAAATTGCAATCAACTCCATCTTGTTACCTGTTACAGACAACTGGTGGACCGCTGATGATGATGTTTTTCCAGTTACATTATTCATTGCTTCGCAGATGTAGTTGCCACTGTCAGAAAGTTCAGTGATGTCTTTAGCAAACACAGAAGAGTTGTGTATCTCAGTGTGTATCCCATTCAGTGTCCAGGTGTAACTAGCAGATGGTGTGGACTCAGCAGAGCAGGTTAATGTTAAGGTCTGTTCAATATGGATCTCATTTGGACCTGTGATTTGAACATTTTCTGGTCCATCTGAAAAAAACATAGTTGTAAAGTTCTTACAGCAGCACAAATAATACAGACTATAAAACTTAAAAACTTAAACTTATGTTACATACTGACAAACCAAAACCAGTCGCACACAGTTATTTATGGCAGTCATCATTTTGAACAGTAAATGTACATTGTACAGTGTGTTACCTACAGTTAACAACCACGGTGTATGTAGCTTCCTCAGTGTTGATTGGGTTGCTGATTTTACAGGAATATTCTCCACTGTCTTTTTTATTCAGACTGATAAAAGACAGCACTCTGTTGTTATCGTGAAGTATCATGTTGTCAGTCAGAGTCAGATTTGAGCCGTCCTTCACCCACTTTCTGGTAAACACAGCGCCAGCTGCGTCACAGGTTAGGTTGACAGAGCTCCCCTCAATCGGCATGTTTGTTGATGATTTGACAGAAGCACCTGATATTCTCTCTGTAGAACAAAACATCACAGAATTTGTGTGAAAACAGGAACAACTAACTGCAAACATTATAACTACTGCACCCTAAAATATGTGTAGAATTTGCCAAGTGACACACTAAAGAGTTATTTTAAGATTTAAAGTTTCGAACAACCTGTAGGATCTCAGCCACAGTCATTTATATACTGTATGAGAGGAATACATGACATTACATTAAGTTCTTAGATAGAAGATAATGTGTCAATTCACACACTGAATAATGGAAAAGTGTTTTATTAAAAGCACTAGTTTCTTTAACAATTGACTCAAAACAGTCGACAGTTGCAAGACTCGTGATCTTTGCCAGGTTATGTGCTGTCCGTTTGTTCAGATGTTATTGCCACAAAGTCTTAATAGAGCGTGAAATCCTTAAACCTGCAATAAAGTTTTTTTGGCCTCTTGGAAGCAGTGAAAACAAGCTGTCAACACAATATTGACACATAATTATTGTTTAAGTTGATACAGCAAACTTGTTAGTAAACAGTTACCTATTATTTAGATTACACATTTATCGAGATGGATGAGCAACTCAGTGGCTGGATAACAGCCAACTGAAGAAACAGTTCAAGCCCAATGCTGTAGGGGCTTGCACTGGGTTACAACAGCTGTGTGTAAGTTCTCGCCTATGTTAGGGTGCAAAGTCGAGGCTTAGTAACTACTAGTTAGTTTTTAACAAAACCAGCTACTAAAATTGGTTGTACCATGATTACTTTGGGCATTATGTAACTAGTTTAGATGTTAAGTCATAACTAAGGCAAAGCAAAGACAGAGTTCCATCGTAACGGTTACGGTGCACATTAGCTTTCTGGCCGGTATGAGCCACTTGGCGTCATAGCACATCGTAGTAAAGCTAGTTCGATATTGAAATATCATTTCAATAAATCAGGTCTCTGCTGGATTACTGTGTTGCAAAATGACATGTGGTTAATAAATAAAAGTATGTTGTGTGGCAGAAAAACTGCAGTTCATCCATTATTGAGCTTTATTCTGTGCCATTTTATGATTTAGACCTAGGCATACCCTGGGCAAATATAGAGTAATTTAGTAATAACTTATTATTTTAAGATATGCATAAATCACAACTCAGTAATAATTAAGTTATAACTAGGCGAAGACTGAACCACTGGTGCAACAGGCTGATAAAAGTTTCCCACAAACATCCTTGGAAGAATACAGTGACCACAACGACATTATCATTACAACAACCAGGAGCACCAACAATCCAAGGAGGTATCCATCACCTTGTTAATGACCCCACAGAGGTTAAATGGCTGGGATTCCCTGCCGGTCAGTCAGAACTGAAGAAGCAGCTTGGATGAGAGGCATAACAAAAAAGTTGTATCTTCAACCAAGCCCACTTGCCCTTAATTTGAACTGTCCGTGGATAAGACAAGTAACGTTTTACTTGTCTTATTTTATTTTTTAAATTAAGGCACACTGATTTGAGTGCACACTTTGCCAGTACAGATGATGCAGGTGGATGATTTTGGTGCCACTTTTCTGACCCATCACTACTATATTCACTCAATCTTTTTATTCCAGCTAACCCAGTATCAAGACAACTGACAGTGATCAGTGTTAAAAGGGTTTTAAAATGCAAAACTCAACCATTTTATTTTATAGTTTATGGGGTGGCGATGTCGCAATAGACAAGACACATGCCTTTGGTGTGAGAGACCCGGTTTCACTCCCCCACTGTGACCCATCCACCGTTGTGTCCCTGAGGAAGACACTTAATCCCTAGTTGCTCCAAAGGTGTGCGACCTCTGACATGTATAGCAATATAGCTGCTTTGGATAAAAGCATCAGCTAAATGAATAAATGTAAATTTTTACTGAAGGCATAAGCAATTAAACATTATTTGATATTAAAGGCGGGGTATGTGATTCTAATCCAACACACATCATTGTGTCAAATTCAGTGAATAGCTCCTCAGGGTCCATAGCTGTCCGTTTGATGTGTGTGCTGATTCATTTCAACTTACCCAGTACAGAGACAACTGATGGCTGAGAAGTTTGATATCTCAGGTTTTTTTTGTTAAAGGCCTGGCAGCTGTAGTTACCACTGTGACTCATCTGAATGTTTATCAGTGTGAGCTCTGGTCCAGTATCAGAAAGCAGGTCTCCATTTAGAAACCAGTTAAACAAGGCAGAGGGTCTGGAGACAGCTGAACAGGACAGACTGATGTTTGATCCTTCCTCAAAGTATCCTTGTGTTGGAGATATCGTCAAATAAATATTTTCTGGGCCATCTACAGTGTATGACAAATGCATAGTAAAATACAACAACAAAATAGTAATGTTAGCAGCTTGAAGAAAATGCTACTTAACATGCAGCTTAGCTCAGTGCGAAGCCTCATTACATTATCAACTGAAAGTCAAAGATGTATCTTTGAAGCTGTATGTCCACAGTAGAGAACTGCATGAATATAGTGCAAGATAAATGTTATGCACATGTTAATAACTCACAGATGATGACCAGGTTTACTGGATCACTGGTGCCGTTACTGACAGGATTGAACACACGACACCTGAATGGTCCCTGGTCATAGCGGGTCACATTGACTATAGTGAGAGTGGAGCCTCCATCAGTGAGCTGAACTCTGTCGCTGGCTGTAACCTCAGAGCTGCCGTTCAGCCAGAAGAAAGAGAGGGAGGATCCAGAGGAGGAGCAGGACAGACGGACAGAGCTGCTGAACTCCACTAAGTCTGTGCTGCTGGCATTTACTATTACATTAGAAACTGTCTCTGTGGGTGAAAAACAATATTGTTCTTTGCATTACAAAGGTATAGTAGAGGGAAATACTGCAGTGGCTGAGAATGAATCCCATGTTTATTATGGCATTTTGAGTATTCATGGTTGCAAGCTGAAAGTTTACACTAGCTCCTGCCACAACAAAAAACATGTTGTCGCTTATTATTTAATGACGATAATGATACACAGACCAAAAAGGCTTTTTGGGGTTTCCACTAAATGATTTGCACATCAAGGGAAATTTTTGTTGATATTTTTATAACAGTCATTGATTTAACTCAGTGGTATAGTGGTTTTAGGCTGCACATTTTGGTGGTCGCACTATATAATAAATTTTCTATATATTGCAGCCCAATTTAACACCAGTTAATGTGTATGACCTTAAAACTCTAATCAAAATCTATCTAGTAAAGTCAACAGAAGCTAAATATGTACAGATTCATACAGGTGTACCAAAATAAAAGCAAACTCAGTGCATCCATTAGGACTACATGTTTAAACATAATGTTGAAGTCAGTACTTAGTCATACCAGTAAATATAAAGGTATTGCTAAGCACCAGTTGTCTTAAATCTCAGATCACAGAAGGTGCAGTTTTTGGACAAAGGTAAAATGCGTCACAACACACCATTATAAATCAAGCATTGTTGTGTTACAGACATGCCCGGCCTACAAATAATCTTCGCCAGTCATAAGGGAACATGCTGGTTTGGTACGGACCCCAGAAAATATCACATCATTATATTACAAATTTGATATATAAAAAAAATTACCATTACCACTGAAACGATGACTCTTATCGCAATATCGTTCAAAGGAATTACAATATGATTGTTTTCTGCATACTGTTCAGTCTTAGCTGGTGTTAATGTAGGTCATTAGGTTTTCAGGGTGTTTATAATGCAATTATTGCTATTTGTTTTGCCTTAGTATTATACTATGTAATAACATAATTACAGATTTTATTTGAAACTACTGAGCATGTAAACATAATTATTTTAACAGACACAATATTTATTTATTTCTGATTTGCCATAATCTCCTTTCAGCACTGAAAGAGACGCAATATGAAACATTTGCTCACCATGTACAGACAGTCTGGTGGTTCCATGCTTTTGTGCTTCTCCCTGTGGTGTAACGGTAACTCTGTATTCTCCACTGTCATTAAGAGTCAGATTCCTGATTTCCAGAGATGCAGTAGATGTGAAATAGGTGATCCTGCCTTCATACTCTGGTCCAGTTACGTTTCCAACATTTGAACTGATTATGTTTCTGTCACCAAAGTTCCAGCCCACTGATATAAAGGGTTTCTCTGCTGGAGTCAGTGTTGTGGTGAACATCACCGTCCCTCCCACAGCTGCATTCAGAGGACCGTCTGGTAACAAACCAGCTCCTTTGGTTAAACCTGGAAGATTTTAAAAGTTACACATCTCATCATCACCATCAAATTAATAATGAGGACATTGTGAAATTAGATACTGTGATGATTAAATCCCAATTCAAAACAAGGTCTTGATCTAATAACTATTCAAAACCCAAATCTGCAGCAGACAAAATGATCAACCAACCAAGGCTCATGATTTTTTAAAACTCAGTTGTAGCTTTGAATTTTTTCTAAACTTGTCTATTTACTGCAAACAAAACCTCTGGTTTATAAATATATTATTAACCACTAAGTACAACAGAATGTTGAAGATTGGTGTATTTTGTCATAATGTATCTATGTAGCAAGTTTACAATGTGATTCTTTCCAGTGTATATTCTGGTGCTCGTTCTTAAAAATCAACATTTGCTATATGAAGGAAGTACTGGACTCCTCATGAGTAAAGAAAATAATTTCCAGTGGATAATCCAGGGGGGAATGAAGCACATTTGCAGTAACATTTCCAACATCTCCCAAATGAAAGCAGTAGTGTGTAATCTGAAGCTGTTGAGCTTAAATAATTAATGGCTAAATCTTTAAAAATAAGTAAATAAACGCATGCTTGTATCTGCTGTATCAAGCAATAAAATCTCACCTGTGATGACTCCCAGTATGATGAAGTGTATCACAGTTATTTCCATTTCATCTGCAGTTTCATCAAGTATAACGAGAGAAAAGAGGGACTCACTCACTTCAATTTACCTTTGATAATTTCCGGATAACTTTGCTGTAAAGTAGTACAAGGAAGTACTATGCAATGGGGATTTTCACATGCAATGATTTAATGATGAACAAGCTCCACCTTGTTGATCATTAACATTAACATGATTCAACATTCAGAGGGTTTATTCAAGGTCAGGGTGGCCGTACTGTGGATTTGTTCTGTATTTTGTAGCGAGGCGACATCAGAATATTGCTGTAAGTTTTACGACAGGTTCAGCCAATAAAATAGTTTTTTCCAAAAATTGTGAGTTGCTGCAACCATGAGACGTCCTTGAGCATGTTCAAAAATATTAGGCTGATGGGTCCACCAGTAAACTGAGGACAGATATGCACACACTCAATCAAAATATGTTTTAATTTCAATTCATTTAACAATGAAATGATACAAAATAGAATAATTTCGGTCTGGGTATCTCTGGATAATCCGTAATTCGTTTGTAATCCTAAAACGAAAATACCGTTTATCTGTTTTTTGTTTTAAAACGAAAAACCAAATAACCGTTTTTGGTGTCACAATCAAAAAAGGAAAAACAATTCAATTTTTCATTTTTGACGATTCATTTTATTGTTATTCCTTTTTGAACAAAGAATGAAGAGAGTCTTTGAACTTCAGTCAATTCGTTTCTCGTTATAAACCAAAAACGGAAGTCACGTGGTCTATTCCTTTATTGGAAGCGAAGCCACCGGTAAAACCTCCAAAATAAAAGTAGCCCATGTACTATGTAATTAGAAAGGTGATTATAAACTAAAACTAAACTAAAACAACGTTTTTTTAGTAAAACTAATGTAGCACTGGGTGTGAAAAAAAAAACACTTTAGTTAAGTGAAAAAAAACAATAACTAATAAAAATAACTGTTAGGCTGTTGGGGAGAATTAAACATTTGTAAGGCCATTGGTGACCTGTAACTTCAGATTAAGACAAGTAAACTAATGTTATATGCAGCTTTAGGATCGCAGTTAGCCTATTTATTTAAGTTTCTATTATTTAATTCATATTTTAGTTTCCTAACATATTTACAGGCCTTCTTGCTATGTGGAAGCTCAACCAGCAGAGGGCACTCTGCCCCCTTCTGTGGCACCAACAGACAAGAAGGTTTTGACCTTTTGACTTGTGTTTCTATCAAAGAGAAGGCTGCACTGCTACCAGAGGAAGCTAATCACTGAGTTTGAAGGGTGTGCAGAACTTCACCTGCCTTCCAGTTTCTCTTTCTGTGCTGCTATAGCTGCTAAAAACTCTCATCTACTGTTATGTGACAAAACAAAACTCTTCCAAAACAAATCTGTGGAGTTGTAAACTTTTTATTTTCCCTTGCTATTTTTGCCAGTGTAAAATACTTATGTTAGTTAAGTAGAGTAAATATTTTTAATGCAGCCTGTAGTTCTTATAAGTTATTTAGGCCTACTTATGTGTGAAACCTGGTGAGCATTACTGAGAGTCAAAAATGATCTCTAGCTCTGGGCTTTCAGATCTTTTAATGCTTTTTTGGCTTTAATTCTGTTTGATGAACCACTTGTGTAAAGTAGAATAAAAGTGAAGTTGAGTCATTTAGTTTTTCTCCCTGGTACTCATCTCAGGACTTCCCAGATTTTCCCCCAATACCTGGAGGATGTGAGCCTGTGCAGGGTTTAAGGACTGATGATGGTATCAAGGCTCGCCCCATCACCTACCGTCACTCTCTGTTTAAATAAATGCTGGACTGGCAGGACAAAGCAGAACACCACTCCTTCCTCCAGCACCACAAAAGGGCCCTGTTGTCACTTTCAGATATTTACATCATGATCTACAGTAAACACACCTTCTAATTGAGGGCTGTTTTTGTAAATAAGGATGATGTCAACTTGTGTCTTTTAATACACTTGTCATATACAGTAGGCTTCTATGTACAACAGTACAGTGAATCAGGGCTCCGCAGTGCAACTCTTTCACTCGCATATGCCCTTAAATGATTTACAAGCACAGTGGGTTAGTGAAGACTAAAACCTACTGCAAATATTGTTATAATGTGGTGGTTATTATATAACAGTCATTTATACTAGTTCCTCCTCCAGGCTGTGGTTAGAGCCTCTGCAGTGGACAGATGGAAATTTAGTTAAAAAACAACAACATTTGTAGGCCCATGTCGAGCGTTCAGATCCAATAGTCTTTACTGGTTTTCACATCATAAAACTGTCATTGCACACAAGGAGAAGGAGCTCAGGCATATTATGTATATAATACATTTTTATAAGTTAATTCTGTGCTACTTGAACATTTTTGGACTACTGTCCTCCTTAGCAGAAAGGTTAGCGTAGCGCTACAAGCAAATAAGCAAGCTTGGGAACAGATCCATGATATAATCTCTCATTTTAACCCATGGGATTTAATTTTCTCCTGAGGTCTTCTCTGAGGGAAGTCACGCAGCCCTAAAACAAGTACATTTCCCCACCCTTAGCAGAACCTAGCATTCACAAAAACATTCACAGGGCCCGTCCACCTGTAACAGAGTCTCATAAAAAGAATCCCTATTTAAAATCAGGACACAAAAATCAGTAGTTGATCAGGCAGGCAAAACAGCAGTGGCTATATAACCCTCAACTAATGCAGTAAATCATCCACCCAGCTCTGACTCCACCTCATTCAAGGAGCAGACGTTTAAGGCAACTCAGTGTATCAACCTTCACGGCCATCTCTATGGTGAACTCTAGCAAAACAGGCCATGCAGTCTACAGGGTCTTGGTGACTTAAAATGCCTGTTCTAAAAACAATTTAAAAAGTGTTCACAAAAGTTAAAACAATTATGCATCATCCTCAAGGCCTACCATCCAAAATCCTAACCTGCTCCCTGACCACACTGCGCACAATGCATTAAGAGAGAGTGCGACTAGATTGTGGCATTACCAGGCCGAAAGCCTACTATCACAACAAGAAAATGGATAACCACACAGGCTAACTAAGTCAGTGATAAAGAGCTTAAATTTAAACTGCTAGCCTTGTTATCAAACACGAACCATCGGTTAATATTTAGTTTTTTCAGAGTTATTAAGCAGCTAGCTCTCAATACACAAACACTTTTTACTAAAGGCCAAACTCCCCTAAACAGATGAGAAAGTCTGAGCACATTGTTCAGTGTTCTCCAGAGCAGCCTTTACTGCCAGGTAACAATCTGAGGAGTCATCAGTCAGATGGACACCGAGCTTTATTTGGACAGTAGGCCATTAATTCAGAAGTCTATGAAGATTCTCACTGGACTTGGTTGAAGATCTTCTTCAACCAAGTCCAGTTGCCCTTGACATTAACCTTCGTTGGATTAATTCAGAAGAAAAACCTGTTCCTTCTGTCACATCACAGAATACCAACAGCAACTTCTAATGACATTTTCTCACATCTGATACAAACCAGCAGACTCAGAGCAGGACTTCAAACGTCCCAAAACAAGCAACACGCAGCATTGAATCAATCTGTCCACACACGTCCCTCACACTGTCTTAATGCTGCAGCATGTCTGCAGGGATAAAGACAGAACCACACTGACAGGCCTGGACATACTTTGGAAAACAAAATGCAACAAACACAGAACCCACCAAATGATCAGGAAGATTAACTCGATCCAGTTACCATCATATATTACACTCAGCCTCCAGGAAACAGACAGGACGACCAAGGAAACAGCAGATTTGTCTCTAATTCCTTTAAATAAATCCAATGTAATACAAAAAGAGACTTTTAAATGGTTTAGAAACAATTATTTTCTTGTAATGCTGAAAGCCTCAAGTATCAGGCTCCACATGTGAGACGCTGTCTGTAAAGAGGGAGAAGGTGATTGGTCCTAAAGGATGGTGACCCGGGTAGGGTGGACAGGTTGGAGGTGGGTCTAGTACATCTCACCATGTATTTACATTTCCTTATGCACAAAGGCAGAGCCACAGTTACAAGGTGTTGTTGTTACCATAAATCATGATGTAAATATCTGAAAGTGACAACAGGGCCCTTCTCTGGTGCTGGAGGAAGGAGTGGTGTTCTGCTTTGTCCTGAGAGTCCAGCATTTATTTAAACAGAGAGTGATGGTAGGTGATGGGACCAGCCTTGATACTATCATCAGTCCTCAAACCTGCACAGGCTCACATCACCTGTCTTGGGACTCAGTTTCACTTTTATTTTACTTTACACGGGTTCAAACAGTGCAGAACTTCCCCTGGTGGCTCATCAAATCAGAATTAAAGCCAAGAAAGGCAGTAAAAGTCTTAAAGCCCAGAGCCAGAGGAGATGCTTTCTGACTCTCAGTAATGCTCACCAGGTTTCACCAAGCAGAAACCTCCGGCTCTTCACACATAAGTCTGACTACTATAATGACAACTACGAGCTGCGTTAAAATATTTAATCTACTGTAGCTGTATCTGTAGCATTATGCAGCACTAACGTTATACCAGGGTGATGTTAGATGAAAATAAATAAATAAATAAACCTGGACCGAGAGAAATACGTTAGCAACAGCAGTTGATTACATGCACTATAATATTGTGCTTTTATTCATGTAAACAGCAAGAGTCACGTTTTTTAAGCGCATTGTTTGGTGCAGTACAGTTGGTAGGCTACTATAGGTTAATCTAAGAAATGATTGTGTGTGCAGAGTTGTTACTGTCAGTTCTATATTTTTAATATTAAATAAATATTTAATGTGGTTCCCACCGTAATGTACCAAGCTGTTTCCCCTTTCTACCAGCAGGTGGCAGTATTTAACTGAAGGCCTGTACTGTGTCTTTATTAAATGTTTTGAATCCAGATTACTGATATAGATGTATTTATTGTTGTTAATGTCATTTGGTTTTTGATATTTATGCTTTATTTTCAGCCTAGTTATCATCTTCATCATTCACCCTCAGCCCAGAGTTAAACCTGCATGCCCTTCTGTTCTAACCTGGTTCTAACACTGCTGTCTGATGTCCTAATGTGGGCCATCTGGCCAAAAGAAGGATTTACCAGTGTGCTATATACTGTGTGAATCTTTCTTCTCCATACACATTCCAGTGTGTAACATACAACA